ACACCATCTTGTAATTTCTTCAGTGTCCTCTCTGAAGGAACCAACCATGTCTCAAATGATGACACCTTCTTAGTGAACAAGTCTAGTGTCTTCTTTGAATCGTCAAGGTTACTGTCTCTTTCATCAGTTTCATCTGCCACTTTCTCGTAACGCTTTGTCAGATCAGCGTGATCACGTCTGAGTTTCTCAGCCTCGACATCATCCACTTTGTCACCATATGTTGCAAGGAATATATCAGCACCACTGAGGGCATCAGTCACTGGTTTCTTGTGGTCATCAACATCAGCTGCAATGTCCTGAGTAAGAGAAAAAGAGATCATGGTGCAATCCCATTTCACCCTAAAAACAACTTGACTTGCAGGACCAATTAAGGGTATTTTTTATACAGAGTGTCTCCTACTTTTTGTTTCCATGGAAGCATTTTTTTCTAGTCAGTAACATTTTGCATACATCTACCAAAACCTATAAAACAAAATTCATCTCCAGCCTACCTTGTTTGATTTAACTTGTTTATTGAGTTGTCTAGGCTCTTCTTTCAATGGTTGTTCAGATCCAAGGCTTAGCTCTACAGCTGACACCCATTTGAGTAACTCCTCAAGACTGTAGCTGTGTTCTTTTAATTCATCCTCAATCATTTTCTAAAAAACAAAAAAAAATAACTTAGTGAGCAATATCTTGCCTAACCGATAATAATAACAATTCTAGTTGAACATTATTACATGGGAAATAACAAGAAATGAAAAAAAAATAAGGCACATTTATTTTTACCTTCTCTCTATCATCCTCTGTTGCTCTGACACCTTCAAGTTCATCATATGCAGGATGGGTTCCAAGAGGAGTAGCCTCAACTCTCTGTAACTTCTCAGGTCTCACAATATCCTCAACAATTTCTGGAAGTCGTTTCTTCCTGTCAGGAGAAGTTTCATCAACAGTCTCCATTGGATGAGTGCCTTGAAGTGTTGCAGCAATCTCTGGTTCAATTACACCAAGTCTCTGAGCTTCATCGGGCGTCAGCTTTTTGCCAGTATCTGGATCTACGATTCCACCACTATCAAGCTGGTCAGTAAGCATTTTTGTTACTGTTTCTCTATCAATGAGACCAACGGTGAATGCCTCAGTCACTGGAATCACCTTCCCTGTATTCTGGTCCACAACGCCAGGTATGTCTTCTACCGTCTCCACTTCTACAGGCTCCTCAGTGACATCTTTAGGCTTAATTTGCTCTTTTTCCACTGGTTTAGTAGGTACACCAGGTACATCTTTTACTGTCCCCACTTTTACTGGCTCTTCAGTGACAACTTTGGGTTTAATTTGTTCCTTTTTCACTGGTTTCGTGGGTACCTTCGGTGGAATTTTTGGAGACTCAGGCTTTGACTTTTTCTTAGGCTCTGCTGGTGACCTTTCCCTTTGAGGCACCTTCTTTACTTCTGCTTTGGTGGGAGTCTTATCTTTCTGCATAGCCTTAGGAGGTTCCACAGTAACTCTCTTGGTTTCAGATGGTTTTCGACCTGCCTTGATAACTTTACCGGGATCTGGTTTCTCTTCAACAGGTTTCTCTCTTTCTGAATCTATTGGTTTAACAATTTTCGATGTAACCTTTGAATACACTGTTGTCTTCTTCTCTTCAGGAATTTTAACTGGTTTCTTGTCTCCTGGGATACCTTTAGAAGGTTCTTTAGGTTTCTTCTCACTTGGCGCTACTTTAGTTGGCTCCTTTGGCTTCTCTACTCTTGTCAATTCCTTTTGTTTTTTGTCTCTTGGTACAACTTCGGCTGGCTTCTTTTCTTCCTTACTAGGTTTAAAGAAAGTTGGTTTAGCTTTAGTTGGACGAACTCTCTCTTCTACAAGAGGTTCTTCTTTCACTTGCTCACCAACTTCATAATCAAAAGGCTCCTCCTCAACAGGTTTTTCAGATATAAAAAGTTCCTCTTCTGCAGGCATAGCCCTCAACATCTCGTCAACCTGATAGCTAATTGGCTGTTCATCGAATGGTGCAACCTGAGGAGGTCTCTCATCCAAACGTTCTGTGAACAGAACATCCTCAGCTGGTTTATCCTCACGGAAGGCAGCTGGAATCTCCTTGAGAGGCTTTTTGAGAACTGGTTCTTTCTCCACTTGAATGACTTTTATAGCATCATCCATCTGAACAGTAATTGATTTCTCATCCACTGGTTCCCACGACATTGGTTCTTCAGGTGTATATTCTTTCTCATCCGCACGTCTAGGTCTATCCATCTCAGACAATGGGAGTTCGTTTCTATCAGCGGTATCTAAAGAAGATGTTTCAGGTATTTCAGTCGGTCTCTGCTGTAGTGCATGAACAGCAGTTTTAAGGTCTGTAAGACGCGTTTCCGCAGTTGACACAACTCTATCAAATCCAGACCGAAGTCGATCAGTAGCACCTATGATTTGTGTACTCTGTTCAGGTTCAAGTCTTTCTCTGTTTGCCAGCTCGAAAGTTGTTGCATTGTGAAGAGTCACAAATACCACTTCTCTGTACTGCTTGATCTCTTCATAGATTACCTACAAACAGACCAAATAATTATACAATAAGTTGATCTGAAATGATTCAGTAACTGAGTAATTAAGATAATTCCGAAAATGTTTCCACAAATGTTAGGATAATTGTCTCAGTCAAGTTGACAAAAAAGTCAAACATGAACAACTAGCATGCTTACCATATGTTGTTCTATTCTAACAGTGATGATTTCTACAGTTTCTAGGGTAACTGTTTCTTGAACTAGTTTAGCCTCAGTTGCATCAACCCATCTTAGTTTACTTGTGACATCTTCCAAAACAGTTTCAAATTCTTCTCTGAGGATAGCCTGTAATTGGAAAATAAGAAAGAGGGGAGAAATAATTAATAATTGTCATTTGTATTATTTGATAAGGATTTATAAGATGAAGGTATGCAACAAAAGTGATGAAGATTCTTATTTGAAGTTATGCAAATTGCGAGATAATTCTAAAATTGCAAAACAAGTCTAAATTTCAAGAAATATGATACAAATGTGTAAAAAAACTGCATCAAGACATTGAATAGATAGTTTCTTTTAGTCAGACTTAGTTGTAAAGTGTGCATGATACGATTTTTGCATAATCTCGTTAATTTCTGTTTACACAATCTAACTTGTCCAAGCATCCACTTTGTTCTGCGACTCTTATGGTTAGAAATGTGTTCAGTTAATCTACACCCAGAAAAAGATGTTTATTGCCGTTCACTTATACATAGATATCTATGTTACATATTTGATGAATCATTTATGTAACTTAATTTTTTTTTATATAATCTGGGATATTTCTCAAGAGGATATGATTATCAATACGAATATTGGATTCAGGAAAAAAGAAACAAATTCTCCAACATACTGCAAAGACCAAATGATGGGCATTAGGTAGCTATGGTAACCATTATCTCACCTTATTGGCTTTACTGAGTTCATCGTCTGTTGTTTTCACCAGAGAATTAAGCTTCACGCCAAGTTTTTCATATCTTGTCTTCAGGTCGTTCATCTTCTTGGGAAGGGCAGTCTGTTGTGGCTTCTTCAACTTAGGCTTATTCTTCTTCAAGAATACGTCACATCTCGAAATAGATTCTGAGACAGGTCCTTTCTGCTCAATGATATCATACTGTAAACCCTACAATGACAACAATATAATGAATAACACGATTTAGTTCAATGATGAGAAATAATTATTAATATTTTGATAAATTGAAAAATTTTTAGTATTGAAATAAATAAATTGATAATTATATACAGTAATAGACTGGTGTGATCATAACTTAACATTAACTTAGGTTGAACCCTTTAACCACCAGATATTTTTTCAGTATAAATTATAAAACATTTTACCAAATTTTCCTTAAATTTTAACATAATTTTGAATCATGTAGACAGTATCTGACATATAGGTTTAGAAAAAAAAGGTATGTCAATTATTATCAAGATTTCATGTTAGAAGCAGACTGTACTAAAATATTTTGTGGAAGGTGTCAAAAGCTGACAACGACATTCAAGAGGTTAAAAATTGGCTTGGCTTGCTTTCAAAAATTCTATATTGTTTAAAATAATCTGAATATTTCTCATGAATATCGCAAACAATAAGTTGGGCAATGATACTTATTATGAGCCAGTTGATAGCCATGTTATGTGCCAACTTTACTGTAGATTGTAATGAACAACCAGGACATACTAACACACTAACATGTGAATGCCAGGTATTCATCAGTAGCTGAGAATCACAAACCTAGGAATAAATATGACAGATAATTGCAAAAAGCCATGAAATTTACCTTTACAACAACCAAATGGATTTTGAGATCATGAAGATCAGTTGGTGATTTAGGGATATCTTTCACTTTCTTCTCCATGTCAGTCGCCCAGTCTATCTGATCTTGTAGAAGTCTTTCAACACGTCTATACTGGGCATCCAGTTCTCCTTGCAATAGCTAAATTGAAGATATCAATAAGGTGTTTTAAATTTAATAAAAAATTTAGTTTGTGAGCATCGCTTAAAACAGTATATATTTGAGTTTAAAATAACACTGGACATTCACAGCTCATTGTGTTGATACAAAGCTTTGTAAATAGTGAGTTTCACAATTTGAAATTTGCAGGGTGATACGATGATGATATTTTAAGAAAGTCAACCTGAATTAGCATATTGATCTCCACTAAAAACATTTCATCTTGGCCGATATGACGTGCCGTTGATGCACAAATATTTGGTATGACGTAACTATTTGTGCTAATTCACTGGTGTTTCATTGACTCACATTGTGTACTGATATTGTGACCTTGAAAAACATCACACGATAGTTTGGGAATTTGTAATTTGGGAGCCACAACATGTTTGTGTGTGTCTCAAGTTACCTATAAAGTGACATACAATACAAGACGATCACCCTAGCACAAAACTTGAATTTGGGGACTTCACTACAAGTCGAGATTAGTTCTGTTAGAGGGCACAATATTCCTCAGAACAAACATTCTTTTTTTTATGAAACTGACAGAAGTACTTTACATGGGCATACCATGAATTACCACCACTCTATTCATAACCTACATACCTCACCACGGCTTTCAGACCTTTCCAACTGACGAAGAGCTTCTTGAATTTTCCTCAGTCTTTCTTCGGATCTATCAATGAGGTTTTCATAACCTGTCTTCAAGTCGTTACTCTGGAGATGAAGTGCTTCTCTCTGTTCGGGTTTCAGTACTTCGCTGTACTCTGTGATAAATGCCTCAGTCTTATAAAGGGCTTTGCTGATAGGCTCCTTGTGACTGGCTACATCTTCCAAGAAGGCCTGAAATAATGAATAATTTCCTCTTTTAATGTTTCTTGAAGGTACCCAACATATCGTAGACCCTACGAGGTAGGTATCGTAAAAACATTTATTTTCAACTATTTTGAGCATATTCACTGTGTTTTAATTTCACAAATTTGTCAAGGAAACAATGAGTTCTTTTGTAATTTCACATACTCCCATGATTTAATTTAGCAGATTTTACTTGTAAGAAAAAATAGTTAGAGTAAAACCCGGCGAATAATTAATGTACATACATTTTGTATATGTACATGCTCTAGATTAGACTGCTTGTAATTGATCATTCACACTCTACTGTAAGTATTTTCCACCAAGTTGACAAAACTGATTTAATCTACTCATCCTTTACCTCATTCATTAGTGAACAATGATTAAACACTACAAAATTCATACACTGTACAGTACGACTTTCTTAAGTAAATGTTTTGCATTCTCATTGCATATTTATCACATGAGCGTCGTCTATTGATTACGTTCTGATTGCACATTCGATACTTTCCTATCACATTTGCATTGCATATTTGTAATACACATTTTAATAGGATTTCAACTTGAATTTGTAAAAAAAAACATTGTCACTTAACTTCTATGATGGCCATCAAATGCAAGACCATTTTTTCAATGAAATAATCTAATAAAAAATCCAATTAGCTGGCTACTCCAGTCAATTTGTTACCCAGTGTGCCTTGGTAATAAGCATGATATTATATATGTGAGTGCACCAAATGCACAACACAAATGTGATGAATATGCAATACCTATGTGATAAAATGCGCAAATGTATGTAATGTATGTGTGTGAAAGCCACACTTTTATAAAATTTCAAGAATCAAACTCCCTTTGATATTGTATTACTATTCACAGCATCAAAAAGCAGATTCTGGTGAATAAATGCTGATGTTTTTGTTTTTTTTGTCATGAATTTGAAATAATTAAAAATATTTGCTACAAAACATTTATCATTAATTAGTCTAAATAATTACAAGATAACATTATAAAATATGAACTTCAAATTTAATTTATATTTTTACAAAGCCACATTTGGAAGCCTGAATAATAATAATTGACAGCGATACAAATCCAAGAATTTCTTACATTTATTTTTTGAAAAATTTTGCACCAAGCCATATTACTTTATTTGTATTTCTGATTTAGTTTCTTATATTTATTATGTATATGCATTGTAAGACAATAATACATTTAATTTATTAATAATTATTATTATTAATTTGTTTATTCATGAAAAAGTGTAATGGGAAGAATATATACATGTAGTAGAATACATAACAAGACAAGATAACCAATGACAAGACACAACATAGGAATCATGAAACACACAGAAGTTGTTGTCATGGAAATACACTGAGACACACAGACATGGTTGAAACCACATACCTCAGAGGATATCAATATGCTCTGAGAAAGCACACGATAGGAAATAAAAAAAAATAAGTATGGTCAGATTTGTTAGTCAGAAAAAGAAATTTATTAGTATTAGTAAAATGGTAATCATGCAAATGCAATATTCAATAAGTATGAAACAAGAAATTGTTAAATATGCATAATAGTAAAAACTGTGGCGAGAGAATGGGATGAAATGAATGACTCCTGACAAATGGTTACACCACCCCCTCAAATGTACTACGATATGCATCCTTGTTGTGGCCAGGCTCTGAATTGAGTCAATTTCACAGAATGAATATGAATAACATGTTAAAGGCAGCTGAATCCAACTATGATATTATTCACACACGGCAATAACATATCTTTCTACCTGCTGTTCCTCCAACTGTGAATTCAACTCATCTGTTGTCTTGGCAATGGGAGGCAAGCCTTTGAGATGTGCTGTGGCACTTGTCACCCAGGAAAGCAGGCGATCTAAGTTGTTTATCAGCAACTGGTATTTTGGTAGTAGTTCAGTCTGAAATTTAAACAGAGGTTAAGGATCAAATATTACTGAACAGAAAAATTTCTTTTTGTCTAACTGTTATCGCTGATCTGTAAACAGTGTTTGAGCTATGTCCCCACCAATGTCAATGCTCAAATGCCAAAGTCATCTTCTGATACGTTTCAAAACTAGTATAATCAGTTTCCCATTTTAAATTGTTTTTGATAAAATTGATCAAGACCCAAACCGATGGCAATTTTTTTTTTTATTGTATTTTGAATGAACTGTCTAAAATATCAAAGTCCATGCAAACTTGTAGAACTATATAACATGCACAACATCACTTTAGTAACAATAATAATTTACTCACAGCAACTTTCTGTTTCTCAATGTCTTGGAGAGCTCCTCTGAGATGCCTCAGTCTATCTTCTGATCTGGATATGACGACATCATAACCAGTCCTGACAGACAGCATTAACTTCCGCATTGAAGTACATTGTTGTGGGGTGATATGCTCACTAGTCACATTAATGTAAGCTTCGGCTGAATCCAACACTTCACCTATTGGTGCTTTGTGACTAACAACCTCCTCCAGGAAAGCCTGAGGATCGGATAAAAGTTTAAAAAGCTGCAGTTCCAAATGCCGATTTTATAGTCATACATGATTAATTTGAAAGATTAAAAAATGATTAACAAATGTCAAACATCCTGGTACCTTTGAAAGGGGGAGATGAGATACATTATCAATGAAGATTTTTCAAATAATTTTCATATCAAACATTAAGGTACGTTTTAAACCAACAATGCCAGGATGAGTGACCTTCAGGGTTCATGAACAAATAAATGGTGCAGAAATAAAATTGGACAGCTTGTTGTTGATTCAAATGTATAATTACATGTACGCAATCCAAAATACTTCATACCTCATGCTCTCGCAGTTGCTGCATTAACTTGTGGACATCATCGCTGATCGGTTGCTCATTCGACAACCTATTGTCAACATCTCGTATCCATGCATCCTCGTCCTTGAGTTTA